ATTGGAGTCGAGACAGTCTTTTCCACCTTATATATACGATATTAGTTGCATTCCACAGACGGTTGGAATAAAAAGAATTAGGGTTGTCCCCCACTAAAGTGACCAATTTTTTCCCAGTCTACAAACTTCAGATATTCCTTACGGGTCATTTGTCAGAAGGACAACGGTGTTCCCGTTAGTGATCAAAGTACAGGAATTAAGTTATGTCATTAAGTCTATATGTACAAACACTTACTCAGCAAGGACAAAAAGTCATAACCTTCACATTGAAAGCCTGGTTTGATTCTGCCGAGGTCGCAAACCGAACATGAAGACAACCGTTGTTGTGTACCGGTGGCCGCAATTGTCACTACTGGTCCGTTCTACGTTTCAATCCCGAACTTACGTTAATATACAGTGCGAATCAATAAGTCGTACTTTTCCATATTTGAAAAACCGTTGTAAAAAGCGAACATGGCGGAGCGAGCGTGAGAGTGGTGGAGTGTCATTAGGTCTCGTTCCTAGAGTCGTGCATCTGGACATCGAACAAACCCTTTATGACTACATCCGGCGATGCATCGACACTGCATTGTACCTAGTCGGATCTGAGTAGTTTTGTTTATCCGTCATAAATTTTTATGCCATACACAAGACCTCGCGGACGAGTCGTCGATCCGCTTTCGTCGCACGTCGGGACTCGCTCTTGCCCCGACAGGGTTTACACGAGAGTCGCCTCAGTAGCGTAGTACCTCCCCGGAGCGTCCCAGAGACAGGGGAAACAAGAGCGAGGTAACTCTCGTCACCTACCGCTCCGACTGTCTCCTATCGGAGTCAGCGTGGAGTGTGGTGAGAGAGGAGAGATGTGTGAGAGGGAGAGAGTGACGAAGAAAAGGCAACGTGTACCGTCGACCGCGTCCTTGGTTTGTGTGCGACCCGGCGGGCGACGAGCGTGCCAGCCCTGTGTCACGACAGTCCCTAAATGTTTCTACCGGCGTAAGATCGTCCGATACACTAGTGGTTCTGTAGGCACTATTTGTGTAACGTAGTAATTCTGTAGTAATGTCCAGTTAGTGTCGTTGCGACCGTAGGCGTCACTCGATTTCCAACGTTACCCTAAAGTACCTTTCCAGCATCCCCATCTCTTAGACTCGACTGCAACAACGATATTACTGATTTTCTACTACTAAACTAATCGCTATTATACAAAAGATTATGGTCCTAGTTCATGTCTGTGATCCGCTAAAATAAACATTCCTAGTTTCACATAAGTTCAGGTGATCAACCTAACTAAAATAATATTTGAATGACGTAAATTCTTTCGTTAGTATGACATCCAATGAATAATGAACCTATAATGACACTAATGATAGCAGGAAGCGACCAAAATACGGTTCTTGTGGGGCGTTTATGCGTTATTATGTAATAGCCCTTAACATATGTATACCTACAATTTTTACTGCCGTAAATGTTCCTTAAAAAAATATAAGTACTAAATAGAAAAATTTCGTACGTACTTATGCAAAGACGCACCGAATATTAATAAGGTCACGCTATTTCTGTCGTAAAACAAAACATTACGTAATTGTTGTACCGTAATATCTGCGGTTAAATAAAGAGAATCCTCTTCCGGTTTTTTCCGACTATAATTATTTTGAACGGAGAATGAAGGTCACGTCGTACTACTACCCCTCCGTCGGTAGTCTTAAGCCGTAGCCGTACTGGTGAGACCAGTCTCGACAAAGATTCCACGGGCAGGTGTTTGTTCTCTTCTGTATTTCTGTAATTTATCGTCTTTCGTCTTCTTTTGTTGATAAATTTTTTTTTTCTCGTCTGTAATGTTAGTAGTATATCTCTCGCCGTGTACTCTCAACGTGCAACCTAATTTTCAGTCGGCATGCACAAACCGTCGTCGAAAGACTCCAAGCGCGTGGTGCAAGGGCAACAGCAGCTCGTGCCCGACTACGGGCAGCTGTCGAGCGCTCACGGTAGTACTCTTGCGGTGCAACGTCTGCAAACCGTCACCGCATCCCTTCCGCTCTTCCAAAATATTATACTGGTTCTCAATACGTCTGTAGATACTATTACACTCAAGTTTGAAAACCTCGCTTACTTAACAGAAAAGTAGTGACACTGAGACCAGAGATGTTCCAGAGATGAACATTTGTACAATGCGTATATAATATCCAAAGGCTATATATTTGTTTGTCACAGGACTTCACAAAAATACGAGTTTATGTTAGTCTAATACGTAACATCGGACCGGAGTTATCGGGATATACAGATCGGCACAAATGATTTCACCCGAGCTAGACCCAGTCGATTCGAAGTGGGCGTCGACGACGACCTAAATAAAGACTTGTCATACCTCCGAGTTGCGAAAGAGAGAACCGCCCAAATGCCGTGTCCACTCCTGAAAAAATAGCATTGAGAGAGGTCATGTCCAAATCGACGACTCACAATCGCACGAACGATTACATTTGTGTCTGCGTATAATGACTATTTTGTGCAGCGCGTAACAAAGACTATATCAGCTGCACTAAAATTAACATTAGCCGTGATTAATGTATCATTAAGACTACCGGTCCCCCAGTTGCATTTCGGTCACTGTGTAAAACTCATACAGCAGTATCTCGCGTCGTTGAGGATCTAGTCGAGGCAACATGGGGACAAAAATCTCTACAATCCCATTCCCCATTTTCTCTCTCTACAGAACATATTGTATGTATTACAACAGCCGGACGACAGTCTTCTGATGTTCTACTTCTTTTATGGTTAGTTTTCACGTAAAACGTATTATGCCAACTGGAAATTTCTACGTCCGTCGACACTTCATTGTCACCGTCGTCCCTCTCCAAGCCCCCACTGCCCCCCTCCCCGAGAAAGCGACCTCCCGGTGAAAACGCAAAATCGTGTAGACTTTACGGCGTTTTGGNCAGGTTGCAGACACTTACGTATTATAGATATTATTCACTTTTCTGACAGAGCCTGAGGTTTCCGCTGGATCTTGCTATGTTATCTTTACAGATTTCTCCAAATATTCCACAATTTGATATAAAGAACTTGATTTAAACCGTATCTTATAGTCGAGTTGTGGTAGTGTCAGAAAATGGTTATAAAACAAAGGATCCTTGCATTTGGACTATTTGGTGTGTTGAACCTCTAATTGTACATGTAATTGTTTGGTTTCTCCCCTATTTGTATACAAATATCACCGTATTAATGATAATAGAAGAAATCCTAAGTACAAAAGCTGTACAGTTGAAATGTTCAGCTATTGGAGAAAAACAAATCTTTACCATAGCAGAATTAAAACACAGTTTCTTCCGCTGCTGAAACTGAAACACTTTATATAATTCCGCTGCATGTTCATCATCACCTCGCCGTGTTTGTTTAGTGTTGAAATTAGAAACCCATTGTTATTCCTGTTAACATACCTCTCAGAACAGCAGGCGAACTCAACCAAAGGTGTTTGTTCAGAATACACAACATTATTTATTCTTTATTTAGCTCAAATGTATTTAGGCCCCTAATGCAAACAGACTCACATTGAGCAAATAATATTGAATTATACATTCTTTAAATCAGGAAAATAAAATTGTCCTAAGTAGAACCGAAGCGACTACTGATGCTTTTTGAATTCATAAAAGTAGTGTTTTGTCCCAGACATTAAAGGTAGGGTAGGTCATTCACTTCAGAAACACTTTTAGTTATATTCCATGGAATGCTCTTAACATCCCGAAAGCAATGAATACATTAAATGCTTTGACAATAAATATATTAAAAAAATTCATCTGTGGAAGCCGTGGCGCTGTAAAAAGCACGAACAATCATCTGAGCCTGCCCGGCTAAAGTAACTGGATGGCCTACCTGCCTGTCAGCCTTCCATCTGTGCACAAACTTATCTCGTGCCCTCATTGGTCATCTGCGCGTTCGTGTGTGTTGGAGGAGGGGCTCTGTAAGGAAGTCTGAAGGAAGGGGCAGATTTTTTTCAGCTGCGTACTTTCAAATTCTAGCGCACTCGAGCTGGTTTCTCCATTCTTACTTACCCTACCTTTAANCCACACACACCACACAACATATACACAACACACACACACACACACACACACACACACACACACACACACACACACACACACACACACACACACACACACACACACACACACACACACACACACACACACACACAGGCAGGAGCCAACCCTGAGGCAAGGCTGTCCCAGAAACCAGTGGGCTGGAAGAAATAACCTACATTTCATCTTTCGCTGCAGCCTCACATGCAGCCTCCACACATCATGGATATACAGACAGACACAGGCACACAGACATTAATTGCAATGTGCGGATGAAAAATAATTGATTTAATAAAAGCAGACACACGTGCAAGAACTATCAGATAGATATGCTCATTCAGGGAGCGAGAGGAAGCTAAAATAGGAGATATTTATAAAGATGTTTGGGTAATTATCTCATTACCCAGAAATCCACATATATCCTGATTAATTTATATTAAAAATCATAATTATAGTCCCATCCCTAAACTATTCTAGTAGAAATTAGATCGGGAATATTGTGTTCTTCTTCCCATGACTGCGAGAACATGTTATACAAGAAAAGGGATATTTTTTGCAGACCCACTTATTAGAGTTTGATGCTCACCACATTGTAGTACGTCTTACTGATGATGGTGGTGTCGAAACCTTTGGGGGGGCTTTTCAGTGTCCCAGACTTTGGCTTTTCTAATGTCTTGTCTATAAAGAGAGAAAGAAGGAGAGAAAACGTCAACGTAATTTCAACATCCTGGTTATTTCCAGGTCTATAATAGCCCATGCTGTCATATCCCTCAGTTCATTATTGCCCCCTGGAGGCATTGCAATTTAAAGCCAGATGAATATCGATTGTTTGTTGGATAATAGGAGGTATAATGTACTCTTTGGATGTATCTGATTGACCAGAAAAAGGTTTCTTTGCTTAGCTTTCCTTATGCTTGTTAGCCTGATCTTGGTTTTGGAGCGGAAACAAAGGAAGGTCTAATGACTGCAATAAAGCTTCCTTTGTCTATGTCTCATAATAATGATTTATGTCAGTGAACCAAGACAAAAGCCACGTGCAGACCTCCAATTAAACAATGTCTGCTTCACAAACAACCATCATGAGTTTAATCTCTCACATATACAAATGTTTTCTACTACATATGCATTCAGTGTGCTGTAATGATGGTCTTTGTTTTCTGCTTTAAGTCAGGAAGTTCCTTTCTATACAGCAGCTCTGGCTCTTCCTGTCTTTGTCTCGCTTCCTTCCTCTTGTCCTGCCTTCCCTCCTCAGAAAAGCAACACAATCAAACCACTATGATGTCTCTTACAGCTTTACAGCCTCATGAACTCAACAGTGCTTAGTCAGAAATGCAGATTCAATATTTTTCTTAAGAGACTTGAAAAAGAAAATCACCTTGTAGAAAGTTCTCTATTTTTAGACTTGACAACAAGAAAATACAAAGCAATTAGAAAGGTAGTATGGTATTGTCAGTAAAGGCAGAACTGTAGTAAGTGTGTTCATTTGTGTGTGTTTGATTTCTTGTACTGCTTTGAGAAAATGTTTCAAATTTAAATGTCATATTAGAAGGTTTGACTAAAATAATTATTTGACTGCAAATGTATTTAAACCTGCAATATAGTGGAGTGGTAATGAGTCAGCATTTTAACACTGGGCTTCCTCCTCTCAAAGTCAATGGTTGTGAATGTGTTTGCAACTTGTTGTCATAAATGTTGGACATACTGTATTTGTGAAAAACTGGAAAAAAAAGATGTTTACAAATGGTGGATATGTAAGAACAGCTTCTAGCCACAAGATGCACATCATGTGAAACAATGAGAGCTGCACCCACCGCCTGCCTTCAGCTCCCGCACATAGTTACTGGGGAACCACCCGGACTGGCCGTTGCAGGACCCTTCCCACCAGCCCCCGTCATCCTGTCGGATCACAGAGACGATGTCGCCCTTGGAGAAGGAGAGCTCGTCCTCATTGGTCTGCTCGAAAGCAAAGCGCGCCTTGAACAGCGAGTGGCCACACCCGCTGCCCTCGGACATGTCCTGAGGGAGAGGAGAGGAATGAAGGCTGAGCTGAATGAATCTGTGCTGGATGATGTTGGGAAATAGTGAATGTCCTCTTCCAGTATGAGAGTACACATGATAACAAAGGTATCCCAACTGTAGCTGTGAACATGACAGGATGTGTGATTACCTAGAAGAGCATCAGGACTGTTTGAGGCATATGATAGCTATGTGATTAACATGATGATTCAGCCTCTATGGAGAGAGACATATGACAAGCATGATCATTTCTGACGTGGGGCTAATCTGAAGTAAACATTGAATACTGCTTTCTATGCCTCCATCTTGTGACTGTGAAAGAGTCCGAATTTTGAGAAAAAGTCAGAATTTTGAGAAAAAGTCCGAATTTTGCGATTTTTGAGAAAAAGTCAGAATTTTGTGAAAAATTCAGAATTTTTAGAAACAGTCAGAATTGTGAGATTTTTGAGAAACACAAAATTCTGACTTTTTCTCAAAAATCGCAAAATTCGGACTTTTTCTCNCAGCATCTTGATATGCCACACCTGTGAGGTGGGATGGATTATCTCGGCAAAGGAGAAGTGCTCACTATCACAGATTTTTTCAGATTTGTTAACAATATTTGAGAGAAATGGTTATTTTGTGTATATAGAAAATGTTTTAGATCTTTGAGTTCATCTCATGAAAAATGGGAGCAAAAACAAAAGTGTTGCATTTATATTTTTGTTCAGTGTATATTGAACCTCTCTTTGCAGATCTGAGTGTTTCCGAGGACAGCGAGTTTGTGCCGCTCTCGTCTCACTTGAGGATCAAGTCGTTCGACTCTCTGAACACGAGTCGCTCGTCCAAAGCGCTGCAGCCTCAGTACCGCAGCCTGGTGAGTTACCATGACATCGGGAATGAAGAGAGATCACGAGATGTTGTTTTCGTCATCTGTTAGCAAAATATCTCTCATCACCGGCTTGAGCTTCAATCTCAGGATCCATGTATTTCTGATCCTCTCAAGAATGGAAGTAGTCATCACATACAGAGCATCAACTAGTTCCTGAACAGTGTCCTTCACATGCTGATATCCAAGAGAGGG